TAATACAACTAAAGTAAAATCTGTGGAAAATTAACAATAAAATACTTTTTTCGCAAAATCTATAAAGGACCCTTTTATTTCTCAAAAAACCTGGGTAACAGTTATTCGTCGCCACGCTGTAAACATTTAAAAAGAAAGGGAAAAAAATATACGAAACGCGCTTAGTTACCTTCATTTTTGTGTGGGTCTATGTGTCCCACACAGTGTCAAATATAAGTGTACACCTTGTTCTAAAATAATATTCACAATTATTTTCATGAGAAAATTTTCTTTATTTATTATATATGAAAATATAGTTCATTTTCTTATATAAATCATATAAATCAAAGTTCCACACTTTATATAAAGTTCACAAAAAGTCAAACAATTTTCATCAAAATTTTTTATTCAAAATTTCGAAAAAATTTTCGAGTATGTAGTTTTGTAGCCCGTTCAATTTTAGTACAAGTTTGCAGGCGCTAAAGGTTACCGTTGATTTTTTAGATTTTTTTTTTTTTGTTTAGGGTGTTGCACAGTTCCTTCCGTATAACGCGTGATCAATATATATTTTTATATGGAAGAAAATCTACCCTAATGTACGCAATCTTTTTTTCAGTTTTTTAAGTTGCAATTAAGCTCTAGAAAGCTCTTGACTTCACTTACCTCAAATTCGAACTATGTAGTACTGTCAAAAGAAAATTTATTTTCCTCTTTTTTTAACAAAAGTTCAAAACACGAACGGGCAAAGTCTTTGTGCAGTTCCTTTGCCGTCATGACATCGCGTTGGCCGCTGAGCGTAGATGCACAGCAAAGCCTAAGTAAATAAATAAAAATGAATTTATTCAGATCTTAACTAAATATAACTAAAATCAAAGGCAAATAAATAAACAAACAATGAATATGACTTTCAAAATGAATGTATATTTTAGGGAGTATACACTAGCACATAACACCTATGTACGTACTTATATATGAAGTTAGCTAGGGTAATAGTAATACATAGACGCTACAAATAGCACGATTGCAAACTGTGTAGCAGACAGAAAATTTACTTTATAACCTGCATATGTTAGGTCAAACTAAGAGCACTAGCTCAAAGTAGGCCACAAGCAGTGACAGTCAACGCTTATACGCCTAAAATTATGCAATACATTTAGTGAAATTAATGCACATATAAAAGTTTGTAGAAGTGGGTGTATTTCCTTATGGCTGTGTGGTTGTACAGTTGACAAATAAATGCCTGCTGTGTGGTAAGTGTGTGCCAAAAGCCTTGCTTCAATTTATTTAGGCTACGTCTGCGGTTGGTGCCAAAAAGTACACCCATAGGCGCCTTAAAATATGCAAATATTATGCCAAAAAGCATTCATGTAAACATGTATGTATGTATGCCAACAAAAGTACGCACAAACATATTTACATAGATTTCATGTAAAGATGGGCGGTCAAAAAGCGAGTATGTATTGTGTGCAGCTGCCAGTCTCTTCGGCAAGTTTTGGTTCAACCATATATGTGCGAGCACCAAATGTGTAAGCAGCTGTCAAAATCGTTAACACAAATTTATTTCCGGCTTTGCTTTTTTATGCATTTCCCCCC